TATATATACATATATATATACATATACATATATATATACATATACATATACACATACACATATATACATACATACATATATATACACACATACAGGTGCATCTCAATAAATTAGAATGTCGTGGAAAAGTTCATTTATTTCAGTAATTCAACTCAAATTGTGAAACTTGTGTATTAAATAAATTCAATGCACACACACTGAAGTAGTTTAAGTCTTTGGTTCTTTTAATTGTGATGATTTTGGCTCACATTTAACAAAAACCCACCAATTCACTATCTCAACAAATTAGAATACTTCATAAGACCAATAAAAAAAATTTTTTTAGTGAATTGTTGGCCTTCTGGAAAGCAAACACACACATACATACAGTATATATATATATACTGTATGTATGTGTGTGTGTGTATATATATATACACATATATGTGTGTGTGTGTATATATATATACACATATATGTGTGTGTGTGTATATATATATACACATATATGTGTGTGTGTGTATATATATATACACACACACACATAAACATACATACACATATATTATATATATATTATCATATATATATTATTACGTCAGCTGTTGCAGACAAATGCTCTCTTAACATGATCTTTAGCTTAACATGAATCGGAGCAAATCTTTCACACTCACTTCTGGGAGTGCAATGAAATTGTAAAGAGAAATAAATGAATCTGACCTTAGATCAGATATCTACACAGAGTTGTTCATCTAGGCTTTTAAGGCAGGTGAGCGTCAGATTTTGGCCTGAAAGGTAATGGCAATTTACTCAGGAGGCGATCAACCCAAATTGTGCAGGAAGAGTGAAAGTGTCGACTTTATTCTTTCATAAATTAAGCTCTTTGGGTTTATGTGCTTATTCTAATGAAACCAGATGAAGTGCAATTCATATTTTCGGGTAGGATGCTATTTAGCAGCTTGCAATGTTCTCCACGGCACAGATCTCCCGCTGCGTCAGATCGTCGGGGAGGAGTGTGTCGTGTTCATGCTCAACTGGAGGGAGAACGAGTATCTGACGCTGCAGGTGCCACAGTCACTGGTCAACAGCAACCCGTATATAAAGGTATCCGCACTCTTCCCACAAATGCTCCTGTGCTTCATTGTCAGGAATAAAGTCACAGTCTGAAAATCTTTTCATATTTACACATTTTCTAGTAGGCGCAGACATGTTCTTGTGAGGTTTTGTTAGAATTGTTACCTCGGATCATGTCTTCTTGTGTTTTATTCTTCATGCAGCTAGGGCAGCTGATAGCGTCCACCTGTAAGGAGCTGCCAGGACCCAAAGAGAGCAGACGCACGGCGAAGGAGCTCTGGGAGGTGGTGGTGCAGATCTGCAGTGTTTCCAGCCAGCACAAGCGTAGCAGTGACGGTCGAGTGAGCCTTCTCAAACAGAGAGCGTCCTCGCTGGGCATCCTGCCCCGGTGAGACACGGGGACCGCTCCATAGAGAATAACTCTAAAACCTGCCTTAGATGACTTCCAGAGGACAAAAAAAAATACAGAGCCTGTTTCAGCGTCTGCAATATAATATATAAAAACATGATCACAGCGTGTGTTAAATAACTCCATGTCATGTTAATGCATTGTTATATTTTCTTTTGTTGTGCTTTTAGGAGCAAATTCATGACTTTTATGAAAAAACTACGGGTAAGTGTAACATTGCCAAGTACACAGCATTACATAAAAGTATCTTAAATATAGAGAACTTCCAGTATTAATCTCTAATATAATTTTTGGGGTTTTAGGAGCCACTGGTTTTGACAACGCTCATCTCTTTGTTTGTGCGGCTGCACAATATTGTACGGGTATGTGCTATCAATGGAAGTTATTTGTTTTTGTTTGTTTTTTTAGATTGTAATTGTTTTGGTTGCCGTTTTATTATTTTTATGTCATACTGTAGGATGACTTAAAACGAATTAGTGAAGTATGTAATACAAATAACAACAGAATAGGTACTATAATGGGAAAATCTTATTTCTGTGGATTGATTGATGTGTTTTTTATTTCTATTTCTCAGGATGATATAGTGAATGAAGTGACAGCTGAGCATATCTCCATATGGCCTTCATCTCTGGCCAAGTATGTCACAACTAATGAAATGCCATTAGAAATGCTCCTATGTTTAAAGGGGTGGTTCACTGGGTTTGTTCTAGGCTTGATTGTGTTTATGGGGTGCAGTCTAACGTGTTAATGCTTAGTTTTTTAAAAAACGCATTATTTTTCACATAATTTACCTTTATTCCACACCTCTCTGTCCCTTCTCTGAGAAGCGCACTGATCATTTCCTGCTTTTATGAAGCCCCTCCCTCAGAAATAGGCGATGGGCTCTGATTGGTTAGCTAGCCCAGTGTGTTGTGATTGGCTAAACCGCCTCTAGCGCAAGTCTAACGTCCCGCCCCTCACCTTGGCGGCATGTGCTCCGGTTGTATTGTAAACAACTGCATCGTTAATATCGCTTATCAGTTTGAGCACTATTGAGAAGCAGAGGATAATATTGAAGAGGATCATGCAGAACCTGGCTGCACATGGCTTTTAATGGTAGGCCTATGTTTTTTGTTTGTTGTTGTGTCATACTTTTAGATACGCTGTTATTTGTAAAAGCGACTGCTTATGTTAGCTTTTAATATACAGTTTTATCCTGATTAAAGCTTTAATACAGTACGGCAACTGCACACGCGTCTATGTTTAACGCTTCTCATAACTATGTGAAAATAAGTGTATAATTAGCAGGGGACGCGAGGAACAGTATTAAGAGCCGCTGCTTTAGAACGTTGATTTTGAAACTTGTGAAATCGTTAGAAGACAGAATCGCGATTCATATATAAAATAGATTTTTACGTGCACCTCTAGTTTTCTCTTCCTCTCCTCTAAAGCAGTGCTGCATGGCATCGCCCCCTATGCTGCCTTTTCCCGAGGGCGTCCCTACCAGCCGTTTTTGTAGGCATTACACTGCCAGAATTTTAAAAGACGATATCTCCGTTTGCATTGAACTTTCAGCTTTGTAACTTTGCAGATATTGTTTATGCTCAAACAGCAACATTAGACACTATCTAACGTTAAAAAAAGTGAAATCGCAATGAACCACCCCTTTAAATCTGTAGATGTAATGATAGTTTGATAGTTTTGATGGTGTAATCTTGGTGTCAAATGTTCTGATGATGATGATGATGGTGGTGGTGGTGATGATGATGATGATGATGGTGATGATGGTGGTGATGATGATGATGATGATGGTGGTGGTGATGATGATGCGCTGTGATTGTTTACACTGATGTCATCGTCTCTCGATGGTGGTGATGATGATGATTGTGATGATGATGGTGATGATCATGGAGCTGGTGGTGGTGGTGATGATGTGATGATGATTGTGATGGTGGTGATGGTGATGATTGTGATGGTGATGATCATGGAGATGGTGATGGTGGTGGTGATGATGATGATGGTGATGATGATGGTGGTGATGGTGATGATGATGGTGATGATTGTGATGGTGATGATGATGATTGTGGTGGTGATGATGGTTGTGATGATGATGATGGTGGTGTTGATGCAGTTTACAGTCGGTGGATGTTGAAGCCGTGGTCGTCACGTTGAAGGAATTGGTGAACTATGCTCTCAGCCTCAACCCCAACAATCAGTCATGGCTCTGCACGCAGGCCGACATTTACTTTGGTAAGTTAAAGCTGTGTATGAATGAAACCCTGCACTCATACTGTAAAGATCCAATACTGAGGGGTCATATGATTCATATAACACTTTAAACAATACACATTGTTGCACAGCAGCTTTACAGAATTTTGTGTTAACGCTAAATTGTTTATATTTAACAGTTTATTGTGTATCGCTTTGTGTATGTGGTTATTTTTGTTGTAGTTGCAAGCTGGGCTAATTGATTTATGCTGTGATATGGAGGATTATGAATCTGTAAGGTTTGGCCTAATTACCATTAGGTGATGTGTATCACTGCCATGGTTAAGTAATGCCTATAAATATCAGGTTTTAAGATTTTAGTCATATCACCCAACCCCAAGCAGTTCAACTTAAAAGTAAATTTAAAGTCATGCTATAATACTTAAATTTACTCAAGGTCTGATGTGACTAAAACATACAGAAGTATAAAATATTTGCAATGTTTTGTTTTCATCAAAATATTTAACTATTTACACAGAGACTGATGCTGAATGTTCATAATTCTTTGAAAATAAAGTTTGAATTCCCGAATAAATGTTTTGACATTTAAACAATTAAAAACTCTTGGCCAAGTCTGTCAGATGCACAGTATTTCAGAGATGAGTTCAGAGAGATGCATTGATGAGTAATCTTTTAAAACAAAGCATAAAGCATTTTTTAAAAAGCAAAATATAAAAATATAAATTGTTTTCATGCCGAAAGTTCATTTTTTAAAAATAGGTCCAAATGCTAAAAGAATTATTAATATATAGGCCTGTCACGATAACAACTTTTTGTTGTGCGATATATTGCCCCAGAAATAATTGCGATAAGCGATATTATTGTCATTTTAAGACCATTTTATGCCACTGAATATATAATCATAATGTAACCGCATAATAATGCAAGAAGGCCTTCACACTTTCAAATGACAAACACTTAATTTAAGAATATTTAGATAATGGAAATCAAGTATTATAAATAAATAAGTAAATTAGATACCTTAAAAAACATTTTCTAACAAAAAGTGCAAAGTAACAAGTAGAAAAAAAGAAAAATGCACAAAAGAACCTGTATGGAGATTTTTCCATCTACAGATTTTTCCTTGACCTTCTTTTCTCTGTAAATTAAGGGTGCACACTATTGCTGAAAAACACAATCACTGCTTAGCAGTCAGATGTCCGTATGCACAAAGGCACAGATCCCTAAACTAGGCCATATCTGCAGATGAAACTTTTTTTGTAGAAGCATTTTTTTCTATTTGAACTAGCACCTTATGACTACTACACCATGTTATGTACAAGAAGCTGCAAAAGACACAAGACGCAAGTGGAATGTACAAAACATTTTTTTTTTATGTTATTGTTTTTTTTTATGTAAATATAATGGACGATATATTGCGTCACCAAAAATGATTGAGGTCATGTACATATATTGTGCGACAAGTCGATATATTGATTATTGCAACAGACCTATTAATATAGTACTTGTAGATTTTTGTCAGGTTAGAAATACAGAGAAAGCATTTAAAAAACAATAATTTTTTTTTCCCCTCACAATTTGATGTTTACAGAATTGTATTGAAAAATTAGTCATTCAAAATTACTTTGAAAAACATACTTCAGTTAAAGTTTTTACTTATTAAATTAATTAATTTTATTTTTTCTTCTGTTGTTTCAGTGAGCAGCCAGTATTCTGCAGCGATGCATTATTACCTGCAGGCAGGGACCGTGTGCTCCGATTACTTCACTAAATCCGTTCCTCCTGACGTTTACACCGACCAGGTGCTGGAAATCTGCAGAACACTGTTGTGAACGAATAAAGAAAACCCTTTCACTTCTACTTTTGGATTGGTAGTAAAATGCCCTGTAGAGATAGTACTGACACGCTGAATGTTTCTGCAGGTTCTGAAGAGAATGATCAAGTGTTGCTCGCTGTTGAACTGTCACACTCAGGTAACAAACCGCATCGGTGTACTGTCACCAGTCTCGTCTCAGAGGATTGCATTGGCTGATACATGATGTCCTTGTGTGCACTCTGCAGGTGGCTGTTCTCTGCCAGTTTCTGAGGGAAGTTGACTACATGACTGCATTCAAAGCTCTACAAGAGCAAAACAGGTGAACTCGCAATGCATCAATACCCGCTTTACAAAATAGTTCATAAACTTTCTAGTCAGAAAGGAACTTCATTGCATTTTTCTCCATTCCATCAGTCATGACTCTATGGATTCGTTCTATGGCTACATCTGGGACGTGACGATTCTGGAATATCTGACATGTATCCTTTTTAAAGAAGACCCAATCTCAGACCAACACGAGTCCGCTGTTATCAGTTCATTTGCAAATGTGTTAAAAATGATTTGAATAACCCGGTTTTCAGCACATCTGATATTTTCCGTCTATTGTTTTACCGTAACTTTTGCCTTTAGACATTCATCATAAACGAGGAGAGGGTGACAAAAGACAAGTTGCGGTAAGACGATTTATTTATCTGTATTTCAAGAATCAATTAGGCCACATAGTTTCTAAAACATTTATTGTAGATAGTGTAGAAATGCAATCTAACAATATCTACCAATATTTAATTTCAGTGCAGATTCAAAGCAAGATTTGTACAAAAGTTGCTTGATTTTCAGATGGCACAATTGGCCATCACAAAGGAATCTAAAGTAGCTCAGTACATGGATATGAAGGTAATGATGGTTAATCTCTTTGAACACAGATCAAGGCCATCGGACAGACAGAGTTAAACTCCAGTAACCCAGAGGAAGTCCTGCAGCTTGCAGCGCAAAAAAGGAAGAAGAAATTCCTACAGGCCTTGGCTAAACTCTACTTTTAAATTAATTACAAAAGACTGTTTGTTTGTTTTTTTAAATGGGAAAAAAAAAAATCAAAAACATTTTTCAAATAAATATGCCTACGCTAATTCAGGTTGTCTCCTATTTTTATAATGTACAAATGTATACAGAGGTGTGTGTGCATATATATATATATATATATATATATATATAACACACACACACACCAATTTTCACAATTATGTGTCAATAAGGAACAATCAAATGCACAATTTAATGCCTTTGGTAAAGTTGAAATTAGTATATATATATATATTTAAACATCTTACATTCTATATACAAATGAACAGTATACTTAAATTATGCTGTATAATAAAGAACATTGTGCTGACAGGAAATTTGATATTTTCATGAATCACATTTTAAGTAATCATTTGAACTCGAAAAATAAAATAGAAAAAAACAAAAATACCACACTAGCAATTCCGAGGCCTGCTCTTATTTTTTGCACAATTATTTTTGTACTATAAAGTATAAGAGAACCATAACCCAACACTGGGGAGCATAAGTTGTCTGTTCAGAACACAAAACAGCGCAGTTTCTTAAAGCCTATTTTGTTAACTTAAATAGCAGTTCAAGCCCTGTGCACATAGTACATATTACAGTTTTACAACTTATGACCTGAACTTTGAGATGAAGTCTAGAATTAGAGTGACGGTAAAAATCACAGTACACTGATCATGCTGTGTGAACACTAGTGTTAGCTGGGTTTCTCAGCACTGCTGGGTGGTGTTGGTGGGAAGAAGTGCTCCAGGCTTTCTGACTGTTTCTCCTGAGCCTCTTTCTGTAAATGAGAACGACAATGACTTGAGAACTGTTAAATGCACCTGGCTGAAACAATGCCACTGCAGAACCAAATGAGCACATGCTGATGATTCTGTTCCTCATACCACGTCTGAACTTCAACATCCATTGACATCTTAAGTCGCTGGGGTATATTTGTAGCAATAGCCAAAAAAACATTGTATGGGTCAAAATGATCGATTTTTATTTTATGCCAAAAATCATTAGGACATTAAGTAAAGATCAGGGGCCTCATTTATAAAATGTTGCGTAAAAACCATCCTAAATTTGTTCTAAGATAATTTCTCAAAAGTGCGTAAGTGCGATTCAGAGAAAACGAAAGTGTCTCTTTTATGGTCCAGGGTCACATATTAGTTAAGCACTAGACCCACCAGCATGCAGAGGTAGTCCCCGTGTGTCTGAATATTGTGTCTGTCCTCAGACGGCACTTGGCCAAATTCCTTCAGCTGTGCGCTCTTATAACACATCAAGGTCTCCACGAAAGGAGCCATCCAGTTCACACACATCTCAATGGCCTCCCACTTCAGTCCTGTGTGGAGGACAAACACTTCGTCTGATCTACGCTGAGACACTTCAACATGTTCATAACTGCTACTCTTCACACTCTGCTCAGTAACAAACTACACAACTACAATGCAAATTTTGATGCAGTTATATTTCTTTTTAAAAATGTATGTTTGTAATTAGTAACTACGTAAGAACGTGTGTGCCGTTTATGGCAAAACGTCCAAGGTATGTTTTCCAATATGTCACTAATGTTAATCAAACAACAAAACACAGCTTTAACAAAGATTCATCTAAGATTAATTCATACAGTGAACACTATGCAGTGTTATTTTACACTTATTAAATTTCTGTACATGAATACTAGTTTATTTGATCTATGCTTGTAATTTGTGTATTTGTTCTTTTTTTCTTTTCCTTTTTTTTTTTACTGACTGTTCACTTGCCTTTAATCATGTTTGAACTTTCTTAGGCTATAGTTTTTGCTGTAGTATATGAAGAAGTATACTTAGTATACTTTAAGTAATAAACGGAAAGCAAAGTTACATTGATATAAAATAAGTGGCATTAATGTTTTTGTTCACATTGATGTTCAAATTACATTTTCTGATTTGTGACATTACTTTTTATGTACGGCTAAAACACTGCTGGTCACTTTCAGAAGTTGTAGTGATGCTTTCATTTCCAAGAAAGAATGTGAAACACATATTGGTTATATAATTTACATGTTAAAATATTTAAAAATATAATTTTTAATGATTTTACACACTTAAGTCAATATCGTATCGCACATTGAATATCGCATTATTTAACAAGGTATCGCATATCGCATTTTTCTTCAATATGGCACAGCCCTAGCTAATATAACAGTAGACCTTGCAAATGAATATCTTACCCGATACTTTTTGGACAACATCAGCTGACATGAAGTGGCAAAAAGCAGCTGCTGCTAAGACTCCATATTTAAAGTCCAAAGAGTTGATATCAAGGATGCACAAATCCAAGAGCTAAAACAAACAACACAAGCTGTCAAGATATTTTTATTAGATAATTTAATAGTGTATAATGGTGTGGAAAGTGTGTGCACCTGTGTGATCTGAATGTAGGTTTCCTGAGGAAACTGCGGCACTAATAGACTGCTGAGATCGTACAGTGAGGCGATCTGAATGTAGAGCTTCATCCACGAGAGCACAGTCTCTGGACAAAGATCCCACTTTAACGCCTGTCGAGTACATACAGACACATTTAAACAGCACACTTATACACACTAAAAGAAATACTTTCTCATTTAATTTTTTTATTAGATGTTTTTATGTTCCCCGTTTTCAACTTTACTACCTTGAGTCATCAAGACCTTACAATGCAAACATTAAAAGCAGGGACCCAATCGGTCCAGTAAATAATCGTTAAATTAAAAAAATTCATGATGTGAATGAGATTTGCCAAAAAATTGGTAATCAAAAATAAAGATGCATAAAATGCAACAAACCGAATTGTATATAATTGTTTTCAACATATTATGTTGTGTTTTTTATATCTATTTATCCATGTTTTGACATTTTATTGATAAAACTGATTTATGAATTTCTCTAATGATTTTTGCATCCTCATATGAAAGGACACAGAACCAGAAGTGATTTCTCTGTCCACACCTTCAACATGATCAGCTCCATCTGCAGGATCTCCTCCTCCAGACAGGCTCCGTCAGACACATAAGCCAGCTCGGTGATTTGTGGAGGATATATTTCCTATAAGAACAAGGAACATGCAGTGATTTGCAGTGATCTATTTCCCATGCAGACAGTAGCTCAAAATGAGATTAATTTATATTTGACACAGCATGCTGCTTGCGTTTAGAGTGGACTGTGAACTGTAGGTTAACATCACAACTTAACAAGTGCATAAATCAAGCATGTGATCAAAACAAAGTAAATGCAATCTTTTAAAGGGCTGGTTCACTGGTTTTGGGTGCAGTCTAACGTGTTAATGCTTCGTTTAAAAAAAACACCGCTCTGTCCCTTCTTTGAGAAATGCACTGATCATTTCCTGCTATTATGAAGCCCCTCCCTCAGAAATAGGCGATGGTCTCTGATTGGTTAGCTAGCCCAGTGTGTTGTGATTGGCTAAACTGCCTCTAGCACGTGTCTAAGCGTCCCGCCCCTCACCTCAGCAGCATTGTATTGTAAACAAGGCGTTGTTAATATCACTTATCAGTTTGAGCCCGATTGAGAAGCAGAGGATAATATTGAAGAGGATCACGCAGAACCTGTGCAAGCACGGCTTTTAATGGTAGGCCTATGTTTTTACGCGTGGAACATTATTGAGAACCGCTGCTTAGGGATGGGCGATATGGGCTTTAAAATATATCACGATAATTTCTGATATTTATTGCGATAACGATATCAATGACGATAATTTAGGGAATCCTGTTTCTTTAGAGCAGTGGTCACCAAACTTTTTAGGCCCAAGATCCCTGACCTCAGCCTTTATGAAAGATAAGATCTACCTATTGAAGAATTGATAGAAAAAGACATCCCAGATTGTACTTCAAATTTGAGGCATTTTACTTAGTATTGTAATTAGTGAATCCCTGATCATAGCTGATTCAGAATTCAGTACCAGCCGTTTTTGTAAGCATTAAACCGCCAGAATTTTAAAGACGATATCTCCGTTTGCATTGAACTTTCAGCTTCGTAACTTTGCAGATATTGTTTATGCTCAAACAGCAACATTACACACTAATGTTAAAAAAGTGAAATCGCAATGAACCACCCCTTTAAGTAAAAAAAAACAAAACTCTCCACTTCAGTTGTCACAGGCCAAAATATAGAATTCTATTATATTAAATTATACAATATTCTAATTCTAATCAATTATAAAAATTTAAATCAATAAAGAGCTTTTATTTTAATGGAAAACCGCAGACGCACCTCAAAGACCCTCTTTTGTTGAAAACCAATTTATAACCGATTCTAATTATACATTTGGAAGTGTTATGTTGTGCTTTCAAATGCACTGCGACCCAAACTATGCGTCTGCAGAGATTGAGTTTGTGTGAAACAGCATTTAATGTGAATCTAATCGCTCTGAGACCATGGGCGTCGCTAGGTCATTTTTAGGGGGCTATAGCCCCCCTAAAATGATTACTCAGCCCCCCTAAAAATTTTGCGATTAGCTCCATAAACTGTACACAAATTCGTGATCGCCTCAGTCCCCTTTAAATTTCATATGAAAACAGCGGCAGACTTCGGCTCCTCCCCGTCTTTCAGCGCGTTCTTCATTCTGCAGAGGCGCAGAGTGAGAAACAGAGGACAAGGTGTGTTTATCGATAGATTGTTACAATATCTGCATCTGTGCAGTTCTTTGTTTAGGTGTAGGGTGATAGAATATACATTTTGTACAGTATAAAAACCATTACGCCTATGGAATGTCCCCATTTAGATAGCTAAGTAAACGTGTGTGTGTGTGTGAGAGAGAGAGATCAGGATTCAGGAAGACTTGTATGGCTTATTCAGTACTCAAATGTTATACCTATCTATGCAGTACAGTGGAATACAATAAGTTGCAAAATGCAATAAGTTTAGTTTACCACCTTACCCTATTAGTCAATCATTTTTTATTTTATTTATATGTTTACTATTATTTTTTTATTATTATACCCTCATTGGGGGCTGAGTCCCCCTAAAACGAAAATCTTAGAATCGCCCGTCTGA